TTAATCCTGTCTGGCTCAAGGTTGACCCATCCTCCTGAGGTCAGTAAAATGAGGACCCAGATTGTTGGGGGGGGGGGGGCAATAGGCTGACTCTGTAAACCGCTTAGAGAGGGCTGTAAAGCATTATTAAGCAGTATATAAGTAAGTGCTATTGCTATTTGCACGCTTCACTGCTGGCTTTCAACAAGTAGAGTCAGTTGAGAAGCCAACAGTGAAATTATGAACTGTAATCCCTTGATATCTTGTTTAATGACTGTGTCACTTAGCAATGGAATTGATGGCCCCAATTGGGGTAACTGAGGACTACATATATGGCTAAATTTCAAATGATTGCAAGTCTTTGTAATATAGGTTAAGTGCCCTTCTATTGTTTCTTCCTGGTTGCTTTTTCATCATCTCACATATGCACTTGCAGTAGCATGTAACTTTAAAATTCCATCTGCTTCGGTTTGTCTGTTCCTGGCTATCAACAGAACTAGTTTGTTCCATCTCATTTCCTTTTAAACTATCTGTCTCATGTTGTCAATCCATTTCTTAAGGCACTGAATGTAAAATCAGCCCTAATTAAACAGAAACCATTTCAGCCAGCAAAACAGGATTGGTGAAAAGAACTTTTAGCAGCTGTTTTTAGAAATCCATCCTTTGAACTCACGTGCTGAGCATTTAAAGCTCCCTTTCTCTTGACTGATACCTACTTCACTAACTGTCCAAAGTCCAAAGACATTTTTTTTGCTCTTCTGCCTGGTCTCATTTCACCAGAAGCACTTGGGCCTTCTGTATTCATATGCCCCGTTATGTAGACAAAGCTCTCTCCTCTTTTTTTGTGGCAGAAAATTTATATGGGATTTCCATTTGTTCTAGATGGTGGTGACAAGGATGCTAAAGATTTGGTACAGATGCGGTTTGAACAGAGACTTCGGGATGGTTTAGAAGATGGGTCTATCCTGGGTCAACGCATTGGGAACTTTGAAAAATATACCAAAGTAAGAACTGAAGTTGGAATATATACTACTTGTCTGAAATAAAATAGAGCAAATCTTGGAAAGCCATTAGTTGAGAACAATTTTGCTGCAAATGTTAATGAAATGTATGATTATAGCACAAGAGGCAAGGACAATATCCTGTGATGCTAAAGCCTCCCAGCTATGTTGGGTTAACATAAAACCATTCGTTTGGTGACATTTGAAGTTACAACAGCAATGAAAAAAAGTGACTTATGACTGGTTTTCACGCTTAAAACCACTGCAGCATCTCCGTGGTCACAAAATCAGAATTTGGGCACCTGGCAACTGGCCTGTATTTATGACAGTTGACAGTCCCGGGGTCATCTGATTACCATTTGTAGCCTTCCCAAGCTGGTTTCTGACAAGCAAACTCAATGGGAAAAGCCAGATAGGCTGAGTGACCACATTGTTCACTTAACAATCGCAATGATTTGCTTAACAAGTGTCTTCATAAAATGGAGCAAAATTTACTTAACTGCTTTGGTTAGCAGTGGAAATTTTGGGCTCAATTGTGGTTGTAAGTTGAGAACTGCCTGTATGCTTATGATGATAATGCCACTGTTTCTTTAATTAAAAACCTGGTTCCTTTCCTTATTCTGGCATCAGTGCTTTGCTGCTTTAGAACTGGTTTTCTTTCTGTGCCAGGGCATTGGCCGAAAAGTGATGGAAAGACAGGGCTGGAGTGAAGGTCTTGGCTTGGGAAGCAGCAGTTCAGGAATGGCTGAAGCCTTGGACAATGAGGGACGGAATCCCCGATGCAAGCGAGGTTTGGGGTAGGTGATGTGAGTCTCTTTCAAAGTAAGTGCACCTAAGGGCTTCCGTATAAAGAACCAGCTCTGCATGTGTGAATGGGCTGGTGGCCTCAAGTCTCAGGATTGTGTTTAAAATACAAAAAAAACATGGAACAACCTGGCATTCTGGAGAAATCTTGTAGCGTCTACGGTGTTGCTGTCTGGGTAAGATGCAAAATTGGAGATCAGAATATCCGAGGGATAATTTTTTTGCACTAAAAGCTGCTTATAAACTGACATAAACCCTCAGTTCCATGCCAACTGTAAAATGAGGGAAACATATAATTAGTTTCACTGTGGCTTTCTGTACAGACTCTGCAGTCAGTATTGGAAGCATCCTAAAAATGAGTATTTTTTACAAGGTCTAGAAATGATAATGCTCCCAATATGTTAAGGCAGAGGTCTCCAAACTTGACAACTTTAAGACTTGGGGACTTCAACTCCCAGAATTCTCCAGCCAGCATAGAATTCTGGGAGTTGAAGTCCACAAGTCTTAAAGTTTGGGAACCCTTTGTGTTAAGGGAAAACTTTTCTTTTTATATATAGAATAATTTCAGTAAATATGAAAATGAATACAAACTAAAAGATGAATAGAAAGTTGACCTATAAAACCCTGGACGGCTTGGCATCAAGGTATCTGCAGGTCCTCCTTCTCCAGCTCCATGAAGGACTGGCCAGGAAGGAAAGCCTCCCAGGGAGGGACTCCTCACTACTGTAAAGTGAAGGAAGCTGAAGATGCTGTTTCTCCATTATGATCCCAACAATGTGGAATAACTCACTTTATGATATTAAGATTGGCCGGCACACTGCAGGCTTTCTGGAAGATTGTTAATCCCAAACTATTCTACAAGACTTTGGATGGAGGACTGTCCCTTTGGTTGTCTTTGTTGTCCATGTGATTCAGATGTCATAGTTTAGTATGTGCTGTTAGAATGAAAGTCTTTATACTGTGAATGTTTTATTGTTGGCTTTTTTTTCTTTTTGTGGATGTTTTAGCGGTGGGCACCAAAGATGCTTTAATATTTGGAATGGTTATTTCCATGGACTTTTTAATCCCTCTTGTAGTGTTTGTAAATTTGGTTTGTATGAGTCATTAAAGGCAACAAATAGAATATTTTTTCTTCTCTCCCAAATATACCTAACTGAAACTTACAACAAATATCCTTCTCTTTTCACATCAGTTTCTGCAAATATTCACACACCAAACATATATGTATGCTAATAAGCAAAAATGCTTCTGCCAGATTTCAGAACAGGGGCCTTAGAAAATACTCATGAGGATGACAAAAGGATTGCATCAATTGTATTATTTTATTTGCTAGATTTTGGAATTTCCCCTCTAATATACTTTTTATATTGTACAGAGCTGAAAGCAGAATATCTCTGCTTTGTCTCTGAAGACCGACTCATTCTCTGCTCTTCTTTAGGTATCATGGTGAGAAACTCCAGACTTTTACCAAGCCCAAGAATCCACGTAGGGACAGCTACGGCCTCATTTCTACCATCTACGATGACCCTCATCCTGTGGACACAGAAGATCAGCTTCTTCGGCGTCAGCTGCCAATCAGTATGAAGTACCGGCAAGAGATGCCTTTTGTCCATGCCAGGCTTGGCATTCAGAAGAATTCCAGTTCTCCATGAAGGACTAGCCAAGAAGGAAGGACTTTCAGATTGTGTCAGCTTTTTCAGTTATCATTTTTTTATATACAATTTTTATTATTACTGTATATTATCAAACAAAATATGTGTTACAGCAAAGCCAGGGCAAGTTTTAATTATTTATATTAAAAGAAAAATTACCTGGTTCTGCTTCTTGGTTCTTTACTATAAAATTAATTGAAGGGTAATTGCTGATCCCATCTCTGCATGTCTACAGTTCACACTCTACACTGTAATCAGTCTATATGAAATCTTGCATTTTCATCCTTGAATTAAGGTGTGTCCTGCATACGCCTTTTTTGCAGTGAAGGGTATTTGGCTTAGCATATAGTGTAATTAAAGAGCAATGGTTATACTCTGACTAAAAGAGGAGTAAACTTGATCAACAAGATTGAACATAATGCAGTTAATAATAGTTAATTAATAGCAATGTTTATTTGGTCAATGACCAGCAAAATTTTAAGACACAACACAGAAGTAAGATCAAATGGATACAGGTTATTTCTATGTTTTTACTTAGCAATGCTGTTTTTACAATATCTCTCCCTAGCCCAGGGATGGGCAATTAATTTTCCCAAGAGGCCACATGAGAAACTGGGACTGTTTTGTTTGTTTTTAAAAACTAATAAAATCGTTTTCAAAAAAAGAAAAGAAACTGGGACTGTTGTTGAGGGCCAAACCAGTATAGGGCTTTCAAAGTGCGTAGGCGTGCACCCCCTACATACACATAAATTGAAAACAATGCCTTCAAAATGAAAGCAATACAATTATATTGGACACATGGTGTACACTTATTTACATTTGATTTCTAATTTTTGATTAATGTTCCACGGGCAGGGCAGGTATAGCCAAAGGGTCTGGCTACTTTACAGTTGATTACATCACATTAAAGCATAGAAAACCTGCAACCTAACCACAAACAAAATTGATAAGAAATGATTACTAGAAATGAAATTTAATTATTTAGACCATTTTTTTTCAACTTGGGTGACTTTAAAATGGGAGGACGTCAACGCCCAGAATTCTCCAACCAAGTGATCTGCCCATGTTAAAGTCAACAAAGACTTTGAGAAACACTATTTTAACCATTATTGCTTGTGGCAAACTCCCAGCATACTACTTTGTTTTGTGACTTGCTCATGCAGTATCTTCAACTTGTCGTTCCTTCGTTTTTATTACTGCATTCCTTCTTTCTGCTCGTTGCTATTCCCTCGGCCACCCCTAGGTTTAGCGAACAACCAAAACCGATAGTGTCCATTCCTTGGCACGTCCCATCCTGCAGGGGGCGCCGGTCGTTCGCCTATAGTTATACAATAACTACATGACGCTTTCCGTTTCCTGCCTGATTAAGTGCCACTTACCATCGAGATAGCCCGAGATAGAGCGCCAGCTTTTGCGTTTGTACTGTAGAAGAAAGAAAGTGTAGACAAACGCTCCTTCACGCCTGGAGATCATCTCCCAGCGCAATGAGTGAAAGCGGCCGGTAGAAGGACCCAGTAGCGAAATCCCAGGTGAATCCTATGGGACGTTAGGATCCCAAACGGTGGTCAGACAGGTCTGCTGACGGAGGAGGACTGTCGGAGGCATCGTGTGCTCCGCTCCTATCTCTATATCGGAGGGACCGGGAGGGCTTTTGCACCTCCCGCCTCCGGTCTGCATGGCGTGGCGTTTCCCCGGTTGCAGCGAGTCCCGCTTTTCTTCTTCCCAGCCCGGCGCGGCGCAATGAGCCTAAGGGTGGCCTAGGAGGTGGTTTCCTCCTCTGCAAAAAAGGGACCGAGAGGTTCTTGCCCTTCCCGACTCTCTCCCATCCACTTTTTTTCCCTTTTTTTTGGCACAAGGCTTTGTAATGTGGGAATGTAAATAATATGAGTTTATCATACAACTGTGTTTGTTGTGCGTGGTACGAATTGCTTTATTTAATGTGGATAGCAGCAGGTATAAGCAGTGTAGGCTCATCCCTGCCTGCTGGTCTTAATTCTTTCTGGTTGTCTGTTTTTAGGAGAAAGAAACCTGCAGCATGTCGAAAAGCCACAAGCAGCCATCCGTGGCCTTCGGTCAGGTAGTGATTGGGCCTCCTGGCTCTGGGAAAACCACCTATTGTCATGGCATGCAGGAATTCCTCTCTGCAATTGGGCGCAAGGTAGCTGTGGTGAACCTGGACCCAGCGAATGAAGGGATTCCGTTCCAGTGTGCTGTAGATATCTCTGAACTGATCACCTTGGCTGATGTGATGGAGAATTTGAAACTTGGCCCCAACGGTGGCTTAATCTACTGCATGGAGTACCTAGAGGCGAATTTTGACTGGCTGCAGGAGAAACTGGACCAACTGAAAGGACATTACTTCTTGTTTGATTGCCCCGGACAAGTGGAGCTCTGCACCCATCATAATTCATTGAGAAACATCTTTGCTCAACTTGCTAAGTGGAATTTCAGGGTATGTTTGGTTCAGAGGAAGCGAGATCATTCCTGAAGGCCAAACCTCATCCTCAGTCTGTCCCAATTCACAGCGACTATATGCGCTAACAGCTGCCTTTTCAAACTAGTTCCAAGTGACAAAACCGTGAAGCTGTATGGTGCATTTTATGTGTTTATGATGTTTGGTAGAAATTGCATGAGCTTGAAAAGAAGATGTATTCAACTACAGTTGATCTGGACTTTAAAAATCCAAATAATCACTAGATGGCAGCAAAAAGAAAGAGAAGCCTGAAGGCAGATTTGCTAGCCTGTATTTAACTGTTAGTCTCTATTGTACACTGATAATGCTATTGATATGTCTAATGTTTGTGGTATCACCACAGTCCAGAGTCTTTGGCGTTCTACACCTCAGTTTCGATTTGAAAATCTTTTTTAAACTTTATTCCCACTTTACATCAAAATATTGTTAAAATACTACTAGAAACTTACATCTCTTAGTAGGAGGTGTAATGCAAAGTTTGTACCCATAGCTCTCCTATTATTGTTAAGCCATGGCGTGAACAGTATAAAATGAGTACTTTTAGTTCAGGGTCATCTGAAAGACAACTACTTTCTATTCCCATTCCTGACGAGTCTTGTTTATTGTATAGGTGACTTGTCTGCATATATTAATCCAGAATTTCTTAACCTTAGCAACTTTTAACATGTGTGGACTTCAACTCCCAGCATTTTTCAGACGGCATGCTAATTTCTCAATCCTATTGTTTGTTTTCTGTAGTTGGCTGCTGTTCATCTGGTAGATTCGCATTACTGCACCGATCCTGGCAAATTCATCTCTGTTCTCTGCACTTCCCTTGCCACAATGCTGCACGTGGAGTTGCCCCACATCAACATCCTCTCCAAAATGGACCTTATTGAGCAGTATGGGAAGTTAGGTGAGAGCAGTCAATCCTAAGAGAACTGTGAGACTCATTAAAGTAATTACTAAGGCCCCATTACACATCAGATCAGGTGTATGTAATCCACTTGAGTAAGCTGAGGGTAGCCACAATTCATTTATAGTTGGGTGGTTGCCGTGGAAGACCTTATCAGTCAGACAACTGCCTAGATAAATTACTATTGCAGTCTAAGTCAAATCTTTATAGCAGAAATATACCTGTTTTGAAAGCAGGGCTAACTATTCTCAAAGACTGCCTGGACAAGTCCCTACAGTTTTCTTGACAAGGTTTTTCAGAAGTGGTTTGCCGTTGTCTCCTTCCTAGGGCTAAAAGAAAATTGATTAGCCCCAAATCACCCAGTTGACTTTATACCCAAGGTAGGAACTAGCCTTAAACCACTACACCAAATTGTCTCTCCTTCTGAATTTACTAAAGATTTCTTTCCCCTTTCACTTGCCTTACAGCATTTAATCTAGATTATTACACAGAGGTTCTTGATCTGTCCTACTTAGTGGACCACTTGGCCTCAGATCCATTCTTCAGGAACTACCAACGCCTGAACGAGAAGCTGGTGGGAGTGATTGAAGACTACAGTTTGGTCTCTTTTGTTCCTCTCAATGTCCAGGTAAGCAAGTCAAAGAGAATAATAGATGAAGCTTTGGTAGTGCCCATCAATTTCCTTCTACCATTTTTACCTACACTTGAGCTGCAAACTACTATGCTTGAGACAAGTGTGACATGCATTTGTTAGTGCAGAGGGAATGAAATTAAGAGGTAAAACAAGACACACGGGTAACTTAATTCTGAAACTAACCAGTTGTGAGGACAGTACCTCACAACTGGTCAAAACAGTTGAAAAGGTGTGTACTCAGTGGGTGTGCACCTGACTAAATAAATGCTGTTATGGAACAGATGTTTAAGGAATGGAGAATAGTTTGAAGTTAATAGAATGATACTATAAACTCCTGGCTGATTCTTTGTTTATTCTAGCATTTGATAACTATAATCTCATGGCAATGTGATTGCATGTCGGTACATCTTTTGCAATCTGTTCTTCCTAAAGAAAACTTTCAGATTTGAAAGTAAGATTGCTCAGAGGATTCATTTTATTAAAAAAAAGTTAATTTGTTGCTGGGACTTGCCTGCCAGAAATCAGGCTGGTGAGTAACAGGATGAAATATGGCAGAGAAATCAATTTGGGCGTGACATGTTTCTTACGGTTCCTTGTTTCAGGACAAGGAGAGCATGCGGTGTGTGATGCAGGCAGTGGACAAAGCCAATGGTTACTGTTTTGGGGACTCTGAACACAGAAACCTCAATGTCTTGATGTCGACAGCAATGGGAGCTGATTTTCAATTTACATCGTATCCTTTTGGCTCTCTCTCCTTCCTGGTACCTCTTTGCCTTAGGAAATGCAGAGGTTTGGGAAATCTGCTTATCACGATGATGTCATTTAAAGGGCATTTTAGACCCCTGGTAGCAATGGGAGGATTATCTGGTAGGCTGTACACCCTGCCCTGCCCTGCCAAGTTATTTTTGCCACGTTTACTCCTTTTTATCCCATCCCCCATTTTGGGTAGTGCAAGTAGCCCTCGATTTACGACAACAATTGAGCGTAAAATTCCTGTTGCTAAATAAAACATTTGTTGAGTGAATTTTGCCCCATTTTAGAACCTTTCTTGACCCAGTTGTTAAGCGAATCACTGCAGTTGTTAAGTTAGTCGCACAGTTGTTAAATGAATCTGACTTCCTCATTGATTTTACTTGTCAGAAGGTCACAAAAAGATGATCATACAACCGCAGGACACTCTGCAACTGTCAATAGAATACGACTCAATTGCCAAGGTCACATGAACCTGGAGATGCTGCAATGATCATAAGTGTGAAAAACCATCACAAGTCATTTTTTTCAGTGCCGTTGTAACTTTGAACTGTCCCTAATGAATTGTAAATCGAGGACCACCTGTATATGCAGATGTTTCTCCTGCCAGTCAGCTGAAGCAGATGGGCCCAGTTTGGCTTTCTTAATGCTTTTGGACTTCCCTTCTCCTTAACTCTCTCTCATCAGCACCCTGGCAGTCCAGGAGAAGTATGTGCAGCCAGAGGAGAAAACGGTGGAGCAGGAAACTTTAGACATGGAACTTGCCAGTTAACAGCAGTCACTGAAGGAGGGTCCAAAGTGGTCTCTCAGGAAGAGCAGCCGGGAGCGGTGCTCCCTCTGAGGGATTCCCAGGTTTGGTGCAGGAATGAACAGGCCACCATTACTGAGTTCCTTCTAATTCTGGTGTAATGAGGAGCCAGGTGTTTCTGATAAGAAACTTGTACGGTTGATGACCAAAGAGCAGCTGGCAAGGTGATACGATTTGGCACCTGCTAGTTGTCAGAGATGACCGTTCAGTGCTAGCAAAATTGTTGTCCTAGAACAGGGGTCCCCAGACTTGGCAACTTTAAGAAGCATAGCTGGCTGAGGAATTCTGGGAGTTGAAGTCCACAAGTCTTAAAAGTTGCCAAGTTTGGAGACCTCTGGCCTTGGACAGAGCATTATCCTGCTTTATTTCACTGAGAAGCTTTTGAGAATTCTCTCTGCTACCATTCCACAACTGGGAGCCTTCCAAATGTTTCGGGGGGGGGGACGGGACGGGACGCTTTTACTAATGATATTCTTTGGCCATCATCTCAAAGGGAATCGTTGGGAAAGGCTGCTGTGTTCTGTCAGATCTCTTTCTTCGTGATCTGTTTGGTGGTCTGACCTGCTTCTGGCTGCTTTGGATTGTGATGATGAGGAAAAGCATGAGATCTGGGTATTGTTGAGAAGGGTATCTTTTGAGGCTTTTTTTTTTTTTGATGCTGCCAAAGATTTTGGATTTTGGAGAGAGGAATGCTAAATAAAGAAGTTTTTGAACCTTCTTTTTCCAACTTTGGTGCATTTGTATGATACTTTATATAGACAGACAAGCTTGGAACAGTGGGAATTCCCCCTCTGCAATATATGGGGTAGAAGAGAAAACCAGTATTTGCAGATTTTTTAGGTGCAGTATAAAACAGCCAGACTGAATCAAAAACATCAAACACCCCTGGTTGCTGCCATGTTTTCCAAGTTAGTGGAAACTTGGAAGTCAAGAGCTACTGGCAAAATCAAGGCATTAACTTTCCAAGATAGCGCCATGTTAGTGCCATACCGATAGTGAGTTGAAGTCCACACATCAAAATGTCCCATGTTTGAAAAACATTCATTTAAAAAGTCCACATTGGTATGGGTGCAATAACTTCTTCCTGCACATGTAGAATTCGAAGCTTTCACTCTACTGGATTTGTATAACCTGTTTTAAAACCTGAATTGGCCTCATTGTTAAGACCCATTGATTTTTTGCACTGATGTGAAGAAGTACTATTATAATCCATCTCAGATCCTTCACTGTCATTGAACCTCCCTAGATTCTCATTTTACAAGAAAAAGAAAATAACTTCATTTGAATTACTTTCTTCCCATGAAGCATACTTTGTGTATCACCATGTCTGTTCTTCTCTTGCCATTTATTTCTGAATAAAATATCTCTAAAACATTTGTAAATTTTCTTGGTAGGGTACTTAACTCCTACAGTATGTCATTCTTTAAAGGTTAACAAATGTTATTAAAGCACAAACTGGGTAATTATTCCACACCTGTACATATATGAAGTGCCATCTAAGGAGACAGGTATGCTAACAGATGTGGAGAGGAAAATTACAAATATCAAGCTCAAATAGAGTTATAAAAGAAAGAATATAATGGAAACACTACGCTTTTAAATAATGAAACAAGCATTCTATCATTGCAGTGAAGAAGCTTAAAGGATAGGACTGCATGTAATTTATACCAAATTGATAGAAGGAAGAAACACCTTCTGTTGTTATGTCTTGTTTGTGCAATTATAGCTTATGAAAATCGGTACGCAGCTCTTGGGAAGGGAATTTAAATTGCTTGCATTCTAGATAATAAATCTGCAGATATTTTTATGGTGGATATTTTTAAAAGATCCAAACCTCACTGAGTTCCTTAATATAATTCCTCCCTCCCGGCTTCATATCTCTTTTGAAAGATGTTCAAAGGAAGGTGGGTAGGTGATGAAGGTGTCTAGAATTCCGGCACTTGAGGTAGGGATCAGCAACAATGACTGAGGGCCCCAACGCCAGCTTAAATTTATGGATCTGTAGTCCAAGTCACTGGCCCATCAGGAAGATACACCATTTTGGAAAATGAATGGATAATCACTAGGAAGAAACCTATTTGGCTTGCAGGAAACAGGAAAACATTTCAGTAAGGATAGAAATGTCTCAGGAGATAGATTTACCAGCTCAGCAATGCAAGGTGCATTTTATGACAAAGAAATGACAAATATTTTTTTGTTTATGCTCACAAGCAAAGGAAGATGCTCCATAAGGATAACTGATTTTTACCTAGAATTTACCTGCACACAGAACAATTTTTCATGATGAAAGGTATGGTGACCAAGCAGGAAAACAAAGATGAAATCAGATAAATCTATGATGAAATGCAATAAGCTCATAGGCAATTATGATGGAGTTACATCTAGGTCTTAGATGTACAGGATGACACTCCTCTACTGAGAACTTTGTTCCTGCAGTTGTCCATCAAAACCGCAAGAATATTCTAGCACACTCAGCAACTTTCTCAATTTGATTATGCCCAGGCTTTAATGCCTAGAATCTAGACATTGAATGTACTTGGTTGGGAAGACTGGAAAATAACAGATGCGGAAGAAGAAAGTTTGGTGTCTCACTAGAAAGAAGTGTGGAATGAATGTCACTGAGCAAAGAAATAGATGAAATTGCGGTATGTTCTTTTGACAGGTCAATCCCAGTATTCTTGCTTTGTGCTGCTAAGGAGAGTGGCTGTGATCCACTAAAATATTTGCTTTGCTTTCCAGCTTGCAGCTTCGCTTTCTGAGGCTGTGTGCTGTGTGTCTCCTACGCTTCTAGGAGAGATCTCAGATCTGTACAAGGAATCTGGGGCTTAAGATGATGGCTAAAATTGGCCACCAGGCAAGAGAAAGTAGAGCTGATCGTTTTTTTCCCAAATTGCCACCATGGGGTGCTGCTGATACATCAGCAGGGCAACTAAAACGGTTCTTCTGCACTGCGCTGTTCCACGAGGGACTGTTTCATTGGAGACGCAAGGGGTTGCTCTTAATGCAAGAAATAGGCAAGATGTGACTGGGTGTCTCTTCTTTGATGGTGGACAAAGATGGCCTTAAGCCCGTTCCCACAGTCTCCGTGTTACTGTGAGTTACCCTGAACATGGACGGAAGGGGAGGGAGAAAGAAAGAGGGAGGGTAAGGGGGAGAGAAGGAGGGCGAGGGAGACAGACAGAGAGGGAGAGTGGGAGCGGGAGGGAGAAAGGGAGGGAGGGAGGGGAAGGGAGAGAAAAAGAGGGAGGGGAAGAGAGAGAGAATGAGAATCAAGGCAAGTTGTCCCAGGGTGTCAGTGTGGGATTTTTTCCTCTTCTCAGCACTACCCAGCATTGATGTTCTGGGCCTGTTGGCTGAACTGACCCTCTGACAGGCCTGATATCTTGCATAGTTTCTGGAATGATCTTAGATGGTGTGCTTATCCCAAAGCCAAAGGCCTTTAAAGCAGGGGTCTCCAACCTTGGCAACTTTAAGACCTGCTTTAAAGGGTTTATAAGATCGAACACCCAGGTTCCTGTCACGGACATGATTATAAAGATCTCCATAATAGGCCACCCTTGGCTATGGATGCCTACCGAAGTGTGGCAGCCCTTAAACACCTCCTCTTGCCTGCCACTTCCATGGATGAGCTTTGCACCTTTGTCTCAGGGGACACCTCTGTTTCCTTGCAAAGCGCCTGGCTGACCAGTAGGCAGGCCCACCTCACAGCTGCCGCTCTGCCAGCCTCAGCAACTTCAGGGCAGCTTCAGCGGTGAGGTGGGCCAAGGCTGAGCTCTAGTAGGTCTGAGGCCCTGGGCTGCTTTCTTGTTCTTGTTCTTTTTTTTTTCACACCCATCATGTTCTGTTGCAGCCTGCAGGGCAAGCGCTGGGTTCGGTTGCAGCTGGGGTGGGCAAGGCACCAGCAGGCTACTGGCAAAGTCGAGGCACGTTCCACCCAGCAGCAAAAAGAAGGTACGACTTAGGTGGGTGAAAAGAATTTTAACCGTTTCTGAATGGCAGACATTTCCTGGGTCATCTCGAGGGAAGCCAGCTATGACTCTGGGGCTAGGGAGAGGGGGGGAAATCCCCCGTGTTTCTCCTTTGCTAGAGAACCTGCAGGTAACAAAAGGGTGCTGAATGCAGGAGATTTGGATATGGACAATTTGGGCGCACGGAACAGGTTTCTAAGATCCAACACCCAGAAACAGATTAATTGTAATACTTATCTTGGCACTGGAAGCTCTTAATATCTCACAGTTCCACCCTTTCAGAGGTTCCTCCCTAGCTTCGCTTTTGATGCTATTTTTTTTCTTTACCTTTTAGCAAGCACAAGACCAGCCATTACTAATCGGGAAACCTATCACTGCACAAAGGACTACTTCCATGCCTTTTGATGCCTCTCATTCTCTTTAACACGTCACGGTTAGTCATGTGTTTTGCATGATGAATAATTAGTGGCTCTGGGGCAAGAAAGTGTTGAGTTCCACAACTATTATCATATGAAAGCGCTGAGAAACAATTCCAAATAAGGCCACATAATTCTGCCCTGAACCGAAAACTACAAGGAAAATGATTATTGCCTTAAGAAACCCTCCACAAATATTAGCCTTGACCGCCAGGGTGGGATCTGCCAGTTAACTTCTACTGGGTGGATCAGAAACACACCTGGAACGTCTTGGGAATGGGATATGGGTGTTGGTGAGACTTTCAAAGGCACCCATGGCTGTTACCCTGATGGGAAGTTTCTCAGACAAGGTGGAGTTCCATCATCCAGACACACCTGCTCAAATCTTCCCTTCCCTGGCCCTCCTCCTCCACCCAATCCACGCAGGCGGCTCTTGGCACAAACAGCTGTGTTAGCAAAGCTGCAGCTGCTCGGTGGCTTGTGGGACAAGAACACCCCAGCCCCCACCCCACCCCTTTCCTCCACCCTGCCCAAACTGCTGAGTAATGGCTTTTCCTGCGAGGCCAAGTGCAAATCTGCCTACCGTCTTTTTCTCAGGAAAAAGAAGCCATAGAGCTCGTTTTGAGCTTCTGGATTGGCAACCTTGATGTGCTGCTGTGGGGTTGCCCACAACTTTTCTTTCTCAACATTTGGCAAGTCAACCCCACACTACTCCTTGCTAACTCTTCAAAGTCTCTTAGCTTGGCAGCCGTGTAAACGTATAGAGATACTCCTCGACTTACGACCACGGTTGAGCCCAAAATGTATGTCGTTAAGTAAAAGGTTTGTTAAGCGAGGTTTTCTCCCCCTTTTACGACCTTTCTTGCCTCAGTTGCTAAGTGAATCACTGCAGTTGATAAGTTAGTAACCCAGTTGTTAAGTGAATCTGGCTTCCCCACTGACTTTGCTTGTCAGAAAGTAGCAAAAGGGGATCATGTGACTCTGAGACACTGCAGCCATCATAAATACGAACCACCAATCGCCAAGCATCTGAATTTTGATCGCACGATCATAGGGGTGCTGGAAAAGCCGTAATTGTGAAAAGCGCTCATCAGTCACCTTTTCAATGCCATTGTAACTTGGAACGGTCACTAAACGAACTGTTGTAAGTCGAGGACTACCTGTATATCGCTTCTTTAAAAAGGAAAGTGCTCTCAACTTTACAAGTGTCTATGGAGATTTTCAATCGTCCAAGCCGTGGTTGTCCCAAGAGGCAACTGGACTTTCTGGGTTTTTTTTTGAAGACATTTCACTTCTCATCCAAGAAGCTTCTTCAGCTCTGAAGAAGAATCTCTGAAAAAGAGCTGAAGAAGCTTCTTGGATGAGAAGTGAAACATCTTCAAAGAAAAACCAGAAAGTCCAGTTGCCTCTTGATAACAGATAATCAGGGTTGGAAGGGACCTTATAGGTCATCTAGTCCAACCCCCCCACCCAAGCAAGAGACCCTACACCATTTCTGACAAATGGCAGTGCAATCTCTTCTTGAAAGTCTCCAGTGATGGCGTTCCCACAACTTCCGAGGGCAACTTCTGTTCCATGGGTTGATTGTTCTCACTGTCAGAAAATTCCTCCTTATTTCTAGGCTGAATTTCTCTTTGTTCAATTTCCATCCATTATTCCTTGTCTGGCCTTGTCGGGTGCTTTAGAAAATAGCTTGACCCCTTCCTCCTCTCTTGGCAGCCCCTCAAATATTAGAAGACTGCTCTCCTGTCTCCCCGGTCCTTCTCTTCACTAGGCTAGCCATGCCCAGTTCCTGTAACCATTCTTCGTATGTTTTAGTCTCCAGTCCCCTAATCATCCTGGTTGCTCTTCTCTGTACTTTTTCTAGAGTCTGAACATCTTTTTTATAGTGTGGTGAACAAAACTGGATGCAGTACTCTAGGTGTGGTCTTACTAAGAATTGAAAAAAGCACTTTTGGAAGTCTCGGCTTACAAGTTCCCCAGCTAGAAA